GTCCGGCGGGCGGAGCTGCAGGATTTCTGCTTCACACATGTTGCTTACTGCTATTTTACTGTCTTTTTCGGACACCTTAAAATAATGCCAGACCGGTGAAGCCATTTTGGCGAGCTTGTTTTGCCGCACACAGAGAAAAGTGTCATGTATTTTACGTCATGCGATCGGCTCTCGCGATCGGCATGTTTAGAGAGCACCGATCGATCGGTAGAGAGTGAGTATCGGCCGATCTCGATCGGTGACCGATCGATCGGAGCATCCTTACCATATTAGCTGCAGTATTCAGGGCTGAGTACTGTTTCCCCTCTTCCATGAGATGTAACTGCTATAATGAGATGAATTATAAGACAGGGGCTAGTCTTTGGGAATACTTTAAACCAGCTCCCTAGCCATATATCCAATTCTCTAGGCTTTGAAGGCTCCAGCCCTTCTGCCAGGGCAGCTCTGAGACTGTATTTGCCTACATGTTTCATTCATCTTGATCAACACTGAATAAGCGTGTGCTGAAAATAGCAGTGGCTTTAGAGAAACTGCAGACTTTGTAATGCTTTGTTGAATGTAGACTAGCAGATGGCAAGTGTTTGTTAAGAATGTTAGTTTTGTATAAAGGGAATCCTTGTTAGTTCAGTTTGTTTGTATGCTTGTATAAAAGCTCAGTCACCTATCAGCCTGCTGCTGATTTTTGACTTCTTGTTTTTCAACAGCTTTTACTGAATTTGGCACGCCAACATATTTCTGCATGCATGTAACAGAGAGCTTTTTTAAAAAGCCTATTTCTGTTCACTCTGCACATGGCAACATAAGCTAATAAATATTTAAATGATTTTCCTCATTTAGGGCCCAGGATTAAAAAGACACCTGTGTTTACAGGATGCTGAGACAGGGGAAAACAGAATGCTACATTAGTTTGAGAGTAAAGGCCAGCCTGTCACATTGGAAATTGCATTTTGGTCGTAGAAGAGTAATGGAACAAACGGCTCAGCAGTACTTACACGCCTATATTAGAGGAAATGTCTTGAGCCCACCGATGAGAAGATCTGTTTTAGAAGTTGTACCTAATCTACACCTCTGCTAGAGTACCTCTGCTAGAGTAGTTTCCAATTTGCTTAATATGAACAGTTAGAAAGTACTACTTAACCAAAGCTTTATTTATATCACTTTTTAAGACAATGATACAAAGGGCTTCACTAATGCACACAACAAATATTCAATACAACAGAAATAGCAGTATTGTAGTGCCTACAAATGTAATTATGGTAGATAATGAGTTATGGTCCATAATAAATACATTCATAAATAAAACAATTGGGTATTGAACTTGATTTCACTGAGTATCTCCAATCCTCTAGTTGCCTTTTGATCTTATATTTACAGCAAAGCAGATATGTTTTGCTTCTTTTGCATGGATTGTACTCTCAATTAGTCTACTATTAAGATGTATCTTTGCTTGTTCTCTTGATATCCTGATTTACAAATGTAACTTGAATTAATGATCACAATTGTAGATGAGTCTTCCTTTTTCATGTAACTATTTGGTCTGCCGTGCCTTGCGTTTTCTTTCCCAGACTTTTGGCAAATATAAATGATGATCAAGGGAGAACTCAAACACCTTTCTCCGAGCCGGAGTCTGGTCTTAGAAGGACAATTCTTCTGAGAAACTATTTCTCAGCAGCACACTTTATCCAGCCTGAAAAATGTCAAACATGGACTGCCAGACTTTACACAGAGGCATTTGTATTCCATGAAAGCTTAAACACTCATGGCTACTGAGAAGGAGATGAGAGGGGAAGCTTAAATGCCATATTTATCAGTGAAGTGGGGACTCAGGACTCAACGCATAATTTGTTTTGATCTTATTTTTGGCCTTTTCAGTTAATAATACAGAAACCCAGTGGACAAAGGAGAATTAGACATTTCGCAACATGATTAAGACTTGAATGGGCTGAGATTTCAATGGATGTTCTTTTTTCAAATCAAATTGTATGCCAGCTTTTTTTTGGCAATCCATATCGTTATAAGCCAGACAAATAGCACAGGGAGCCATTTTGCCCTTGCTTCTCTTCTAATCATTGTCTGCTGAGCGGACAGCTGCCCGGCCTTTGTGACCCTTCTAGCTTCAAGTGACAAGGGAAGTCGACCTTGGAAAATGTTGCATGTCTCTCTGTTTTTAACCTCTAAACATAAGCTATCTTCTCCATTTCATCATTTCACACACACATAAAAGACTGCATTCCCAAATCTTTTCAGACATGTTTACTTTGAGTAAATGAATACAAAATGATGTGTGTTTAACTGAGGAGAAGACTTTTCATTAAAAGATCAGTGTAAGGAATTTCACAAGCGTTTTATTCAATTCAAATGAAAAAAACAAATGTTGCTCCAAGCAAGGCTTCCCACAATGCATTTGAAATTTCCCTTCCGATTCTGCAAAGACCCGAATAAAAAATATCAAACTGATAGAAATAGCGATATGACTTTGTCACTACTTCACATTATTGTTGCTGTAACTTATTTAGATTCTCATTGGTTGGCTCAGCTTAATTAATGTGTTGGCAACTCTGAGTGAAATTCAGATTTAAGTCTTATAAAGTGTTCCCTACAGTGAGCAATGGGGAAACTTGATTATTGTGTCGCTGTTCTGTCTGAAGACTTCTTTTGTGCAGAAATGCCATTCTGCTTCCTTTCAAAACCTATGTCTTAGTTGTCATTGGTTGAATTACTCTTGGAGACGTTTATTTGCTGGTGTTTGTTAACAAATACTGGAACATTATTCTCATAGCTTAATTTTAAACCAAGCAACGTCCTCTTTCAGACTTTGTGGCCTAATTAATGCTCTATAGGGCAACTTAACTGCCAGTTGTGTTTATGTAATTAGCTGCAAACCTGAACATATGTATCACTGGTCCAGTTAACAATCTTTGTAAAGTTTATTTTGGAAAATCATTTGTTTTTATTGCAAAGTTTATTAACAGGACAAAGGAGAATATGAGAGATACACTGGACGACAAGATAGTTTTCACAAATAAACACCAATTTAATGATTACTGAAGCATAACTACTGTTGCCAGAAGTAAAAAGCTAACGTTAGGCTACAAGCAAACTTTACCATGATTGTATGACCTCAACATCACCATAACTAAAACAAAGGCGGCTCGTATTTGCCATGATGACGTAAAGTTGTCTCATTTAGTCACTTGTTAGCGACTGGCATTTAAAAGAAACTTCAAAACGTCAAAATTCACAAGTGTGGTATTCGCTAATGCATTTTATGTTGTAGCATCAAATGTTAAAATCTCTTAACCCAGTGGTTCTCAAACTTTTTCTGTCAGGCCCCCCCTTTGGAGAAAAAAAAAAGTCGGGCCCCCCCCAACACAAATAGTCAGGCTCAGTGGCGGCGCCAGAGATTTATTTTGGGGGTACTGTGGTAGCTTGACGTTTCATAGAGGGTGCTCAAACATTTAGGGTTTCCCATTAATGTACCGGGCGCTACAGTGGAATGTTCTACTGCAACACTCCCCACGCACATACACAGTGTGACAGTTACAATGAAGGCTCGATAATCAGCTCACGGCATATAGGTGTAAGCAGGGGTAAAGTGCTATTTTTATAGGTGGTGTGTGGACTTCCTCTAGGGGGGTTCGGGGGCAAGCTCCCCCGGGAAGATTTATTTTTAAATATTGAAGTTAAATGCATCAATCTGGTGCACTTTGAGAGCAAAATGAAGAGATCTATGGATCTCAACACAGAACTGTAAACAGATTTACTATTTCTTTATGGATATTTTACAAATCACCCTTTTAAACTTTATAAATGTTTTAATGTCATATAGTATTTCATACCTGTTTTTAATTTATTCTCTTATTTTTTTATAACTATAATGATCATATAAATGTGTGCCTCGGAAATAATTGTTTACATTAATGGTAACCAAAACGTTTGAGACCCACTGAGATAACACTCAGTCCTTTAGCTCACTGAGCCTCTCAGTCTGACAGGAGAGGGCTCTCCTCCACTTTGTTGTTGAAAAACTCCTTATATCCGTTAGCGTAGCTCGCTAGCACCAGAAGCTAACATCAACGATCTCCGGTACCGGTGCGCGCTCTCTCTCTCTCTCTCTCTCTCTCTCTCTCTCTCTCTCTCTCTCTCTCTCGCGCACGCACGCACACAAAATGGCTCGTTCCACACACACACAGAGCTGAGCTTTAATGAAACACAGAGACCCAGACGTAATAGTACTGTACTGCATCATATTATTTTCGAATCAATAATTTTTCAAAATATGATTTTTATTGAATTTTTTTTAATCTTTAAAACATTTTTTTTTTAATAACCATTTTTCCTCCTGGTCTCTCGCGCCCCCCCCTGTCATGCGTCTGTGCCCCCCTGGGGGGGGGGGGGGGGCGCGCCCCCCACTTTGAGAACCACTGTCTTAACCACAGGTCCTTTCATTATATATAACCAAACACCCAATTAGAAAACCCATCAACCTTTATACAGGGGTGCAAACATGCTAACTAATATCTCGGTTTTAGGACTCGTTCCTGCAGCACTCTATAGTCTCCTATTCTTTGTTGTTTATCACATGACTCCCACATAGAAATGTCTGTCTCCCCTCTTCCCCCCACTTAATGACATAATGACACATTTGGTCAGTGTTTAGGGACTGCATAGCTCTACATCACAAAACTCTGAAAGCAGCACTTTATGTCAGATCCTCCCCCTAAAAGAAACTGTCCACTGTTCCAGTCTACGCCTCAACAACCAACATGTGTAGCTACCCCAAACGGCGTTGTTTGTTTGTGTTCTCTGTTGGAAAAAGATCATCAACAGTGAACGGAGCGAACAGTGACAGTCCACTGCATTGACTTACCACGCCACAGTGAGCCGGATGTCAAATTGCGACTGCCACTTCTGCTGTGTGTCAATACAAGGCTCTTTCAGTCCATTGCAAGCTTTTAGTTAAAGGTTTGTTTTTTCTGTCACTGTGGTTGCCTTTGTAGAAAACTGTTTGGTGTGCCCTCTGGAGAGGGATCGGGACTGTGGCTCAGTCCAGCGAAATGTAGCGCCTCACTGCCCTGAAAGACGGATTTTGGAGACCTGCCTGCTGTGTCTACTCATGGTGAGTCATCTCTTAAGTTTCATGCCACTTGAACCAGTGCAGCAAAGCCGGGAACTCTTTTCACCTTTGGATGCATCGCACCAAGGTCATCATGGGAAGTCACAATAGATTCATTGTGAACTTGTGTTTGGCAAGTGGGCCTACTGTAGGACAATAATTCATTTACATTCTTTAACATTCTTTTTCTGAAGAGCACATTTGTTGTTTGTTGGGGGATCCTGATGCATGCTTTGGTAAACATGCATTTTTCAGTTTGTGTCTATAAATATATGTTTGTTTTTCATTGCTAACCCCCTAACATGAATACAGTAGCTAATCAGCCTTTAGTAATCGAGTTGCCATCTTTTTTAAATAATGTTTTGGTCCGTTTAGATCAGGATTTGAGACGATTCCATCTGTGCAGTTTATCTTCTATTATAGGGAAATAATTATGGTCCTTGAAATGGTTTAAACATGACAAATAAACCAAGTTCTACATGGGGTAATTTGCAGGACTTGTCTTAAATATAACATTCATGTTTAAATACTGTATTTCATCAAACAAAGGTAAGTATGATGGACTATAAATGACTTTGATCTAAACAATTTTTTTTCATTGTTTAAGATACTTTAGATTTCAAAATAGACTTTTCTCGTAACATACGACTGACCTAATGACCTGACATCCCAGTAACTACTTCACTTTGGAGAGTCGACCTTTTACTTAAAAGTGATGCATCTTTTTGGGAGAGGAGAGTTTCACTGCAGAATTCTGAGCTGTTTGTCTAGGAAAACTCTTCCATCAGAAAATAGATTCATGTTTCCCATTTCAACTTTCATTGTGAATTTTCGCAATCTGTGCGGTGGAGATGCTGTCATCTCTTCCAGGAGCTGTCTGTCCAAAACAGTCTTATTTTTAAGTCCCGAGTACTGATCGATGTGCTGGCTTCGGGCTTTATGTAATTACTCTCTGACTGGTCAGCCATGAAATTGTTGTTTGGCTCTGAAATGGATCCAAAGGAAGCAATTTTAAAGAAAGGCCTTCTGGTGCTGCCATAATCAGAATGATTATGGCAGCACCAGGAGTTAGTAAGATAAGTTCCTTGGCCAATAAATATATGGATTTAAAATCTGAGAGAGAGCGCTGCAGTCTCATTACCAGGGTTTAAGGGATGACACTACAGGTGAATAGGGTTACACAGGTTAATGTGTGTAGCGTAGGATCAAGCTAGGTTCAAAACTATTTGTTTAATTTGTTGACATATTAAAATGACTTTTTTTTACATAGGGAAATCAGAATATCTCTTCTGTATCACTCTATAAAACTGAAAATACTACATTTACTGAGAAAAAGGCTGTTAAACATATTTTGAGTATAGGGTAAACAATTATGAATACATATAACCATAAAAGTTCTGGGGTTTATTAATTTTTTTATATTTACGCAATTGTTGCACAAGAAGTTGTCTTAAATGTCAAGTTCAAACATGCTAATGAGACATTATGTAATGCTCCGGGCCAGTGGAATTTTATTATCACTGCCCCCCCCCACCATTGTAACCACTGGCCCGGAGCATTCGTCCAAAAAATTGACTAATAATGAAGAAAATTAACACATTTGTTGCAATAGTAATTTATGTATAAACTACATTACTACTTGTACTACAACATTTTAATCATCAGTTCTTGCTCATTTTCCTCAATTGTTAATATTTGGTTTATTAAAAATAATTATATTGTGGTCATTGTTAAAACATTTCTACTATTATCATTATTATGAGTAGCCTATATTATTATTTGTATAATGCGCTTTCTGCCTTCCTGTCATTAGGAGATAGAAATGTAATGGCTATAGATTAGATTAGATCCTTCATTATCCTAAACTGCTGGGACATTTCCCTATAGCCAATATACCTTAATATTTTCTACTCTTCACTTATTTGTCAGCATAGGTCGGCATTGATGTACAGAGCCGACAAAAGACCTTGTTTATATTGGCATCATATCGAAGCCAACTCCATCGATCAAGCCAGTGTGGCTGAAACTTTCTCTCCCTCTTCTTCTCATACTCCCTGTCACTCTCCTTTAACTCCTCCGGTGACATTCTTTTATTTGAAGATTGTTTTTTGCCCGGCACTTGGCCGGTTACCGCTGGTATTAAAAAAAGTTTGGCGAATGGTTAGGTGGCGCGAAAGTCTGTAGCGAACGAGCGCACTCACGGGAGCCTGCTCGCGCTGCGCTCTGCAGCAAACAGCTGTTTGCTTTTCACCCAACAATGACAACCACCTCACAAAACGCTATGTTGTAGCATTAATAAACGAAACAATTTAACAAAATTGCTAGTCAACATACCACAGGACCATTTTTTTTTTTTTTTAAAGCAATATTTTTAGTGGCCTGAGCGGGCTACTTATCGTAGCTGCACATACAATATATCCGATTAAAGCTGAGACTCCACCGATTATGTAGGTACATAGTATCATCACTGAGTGATCCAGACTCGCGACAGGGGAAGCAAATACAGTCATCACAACACGTACCTTCACAGAGCTTCTAGGGAGATCGTCTCACCACCAGCTGTCAATCTGATCAAAAGACGTGTTCAATGGCATTAAAATGAGAAAAAACGCGGCTGAATCGGTTAATCCATAGGTTTTTAACGTCTATGTATAAAAAAATGATTGAATTTATAATCCATAATTCCATTTTATGTAAAAATCGGAGAGCAAATGCTAGCTGCTAATGGTAGCCACCACAGCTAGCTGCTGCTTCTGCTAGGCTATGCAGCAGTCTCAGTGAGATATAAATATATAAATATCTTTGCGTTTTGGACTAACTTTAAAATATTCCCATGCTTTTGAAGACCTAGGGCGAGATGTTTTCGTTTGGGGGCTTCGTGCGCAATCCTGTGAGGAGGAGGTGGTAGCCGTTTCAGTCTCCATTGTGTTTGAAGTGCGATTGCGAACTGCTTGTTGCTTTGGGTGACCCACGTGTGTGTGTGTGTAGCGACGCGTCGACGCGGAAATATGTCGTCGACGATATTTTGAAGTCGACGCGTCGCTACAGCACTAGCAAATACACATTGTATTAATATCAACACCTAAATGATTATCTTGGATGTTTTTCCACTAGTCTTTAAGAAAACGTTCAAATTTGACAAATCTGTTTTTGCTCGTAGTGTCTTAACATTAATCCACATGCATTGTTCGTAGTCTGTTTCATGTTGTTTGTCGGAAGATGAACAGCTTCTGTCAGCTGTTGATGGGAGTGTGCAGCTCGCAGGCTGCAGAGAGGTATGCACAGTGACAGTCTCTGGCTCACATGTATGCAGCTGTGTCCTGCGAGATGCGGGCCGGCAAATGGAGTGGAAGAGTAGTCCCATTAAACCCGGGCTCTCCTCTGAGGAGGAGGCTAACAGCTCTGAACGCTGGCCTCTCGCTCCCTGGCAGAAAGTGCTGACACAAATTTCCGTCTGACTAAAATGCCTTCTGACCGCATGACACTGGCTCTTTTCTTCCTCTGAGATTCCACGGCCGTAATGCCGGGGCTACACAAAAGAGACACAGTCTGAGAGTGCCGCTTAGGGGGTGGCATAAATTATAATCATACCATAAACTGACTCAAAGGTCTGCATTACTCACATTTTATAGGGTGAGGAAGGAATTTCTTTGTTTGAGCAGTTAATTTGGGTTTATATTCGCGAAACCTCCTTTTTCATCTCATGCACGTTACACATCCCGGGAAACAGATTCATTCTGTTCTGCAAGCCTCTCTGTGGAGTTGTCTCTTTTCAACCAGCTTCAAATATACCATATATTTTCACAGATGCACAATGTAATTCACAAGTGTCCTGCACCAGAGCAACGTGCCTTGTCCCTTTGACATGCAGGGGAATGTGTCAGTTTGTGATTGACGGGCCATGGCTCCTGTGTTGGTCAGTGATGCAGAGATGAAACATGACAGTGTCTCCAGGCACAGCATAGTAGTCCTACAATTGTGCATGTCATCAAAAGTAATTTGCTGTTAACCTCTGGAAACTTTTAGCGGTTGTGGTTTGCATTATTTTTTCAAACATAGACGAGCTGTAGTCACTCATTTCTACATGCCTCCTGTCACAGCTGCATTTATAGGCTTTCTTCAAATAGTATTAGTCATGCTTTGACCAATACGATGCTTCAGGCTGTAAATCTGTGCTCATGGCTCGAGGGAACTATGATGAGAGTGATCAGTGCTGTCAAGTTGTTGAAGGGGATCTGCGGAAGACGGTTGCTCCTCAGTGGGGGTGTGTGGGTGGTTAGCTACAGCCCACAGCTACTGAAGGGGAGCTGTGTCAAATCTGACACACTGAAACCCACAAACGCCAACACTGACAGCCAGTTGTGACGAAAACCAATTTACAGGCAAGAGATATTCTGTTTGAAATGTGGGGGAGCTGTTTTTGAGTCATCCATGTATGGTGGTATGTAGGCTAGTTCCTCTTTGGGCTTTGCTAGGACTTGTAGTCACAAATCTGCCTAAGATGTAGAGCAGATTAAAGAATAGTTTATTTTGAGAAGTAGCTGGAACATGCAGGTATGGTGTCCTTTGCTTTGTTTTATAGACATAACAGAGGCTGAAGACTTGGATCACTTAATTTTTTTAAAGATAGATTGATAAAATCTAAGGAATCAGAACTCTGATTGTTAAAAGGGGCTTGTGAAGTTTTCTCCCGTTTCATGCGAAACAGTCAGACTTGGCTTGGTACACGCGTGACACATAATAAAAACTCTTACCCCCCAAAGACCTGGGCTCAATTCCTGGTAGGGCTACCTCTGGTTTAGTCATGCATTCCAGCTGCCGCTGTTGGGTGTCAGTGAGGGATTGTGTTGTTTGTCACTGCACTCCAGTGTAAACGTAGAGGGGTTATTGTTGTATTATTTGAGAATAATATGCACAAACATTGAATATCGCAAAAACTATATTTATTTGAGATAAAAAAACAGATATTAAATTGAATTCCTTTCTGACATTTTGCTCCTTTC